GGAGCCAGCAGGACTGAGGTTTGCTTACCGTATCGACATCTGTACTGACAAACGCCATTTTTTCCTCCAAGCAGTTCCAAGAAAGAGTCGAAGTAGCTGTTAACTGTTTCGAAGCTGTTGCGGATGGCCTCGATGCCCCAGTCTGAATAGGATAACTCTGCTTGGGGAGCTTGGTGGACGGTGTTCTCCTGTGTTGTTTCCTCGGTGCATTGCCCTAAGCCCAGGGTCAGGCACAGAACCGCTGCCTCAAAAAGCAGGCGCATGCTGCAGTCCAGATCCAGGCCCCAGAGCCTTTGTCCAGGCAGATGTACAGGCAGGGAGGAGTGGGAGCGAGCTGTTGTGCATAGGAGGCAGGTAAGCACCCCTCTCCCCTGGACTTTAAACACTGCCAAGGGAGCCAGCGTGAGGTCACCACAATCAGAGTGCAAAGTGCACCATGGAGATTTGGACCAAGTTCGTCTCGCAGAGAAACACCGGGGTTTGAGTTTGCACAATCCTGCTGGAACAGGCTCAGCCCCTGCGGCACCAGGGCTTCAGCTTCCCCAAAAGGGACCATTCCCTGGGGTGCTGAGCGGGGTCTGTCTGTCGGGGTTGTGTGGCACACGGGAGACCCTCCACATGCCCCACCGAGGCACTGCAAGGGCTGCCCCACTCTCCCCAACCTGTCCAAAATTTCTGCTGCTCAGGCAATGGGAGTAATAGATCAGCAGCAGACTGAGGAGCACCCCTTGCCTTTTTCCTAGGCCTCCTGGACACATACTGGGGTGGGACGAGACATCCACCCAGCCTGGCTGCTGTGGGGGATTGCTCCTAGCAAAACCTGTGGGACCGCAGTGCTGACACGCTTGTCGTGTGAAGGGGCTTTCCATGCCTGCACACCCAGAACAGGCTGCCTTGTGGAAGCCTGCCCAGGACAGAAAAGGGTGGCAGAGCGCGCCGTCCTGCTTTGCGCCGTGTCCTGCTCTGCTAGGGCTAGAGGGTGCTGCTGGGTCTCGTAGGGGGTTGATCCAGCAGCTAGGAGTAGTTTGGGTTTAGAAACACTGCATTCAGGGCAATCCCTTGGCATGTCCCCTCCAGTTATAGGATCAATGATGTAGGTGAGTATTTGCCTTTGATGGGACTCCTGAAGGCTGATGTTAGATGGCTGGTTGTTACAGCTTTTGCGTAATGCCAGCGTTGCTGAATTAAACGCGTAGCATAGGTGGCGCAGAGCGAGGAAGGGCTGGCACTGAAACCCAAGTCAGGTAACGGGCTTGTGGGGGAGCTGCAGGTCCTGGCTCTGGGGTGGGACTGACCTGCCAGGACCCGGGGGCCTGCACAGCTGGTGGAGGTTTCAAAGAAGTTACTCATTAAAAGAAAACAACCAAATGAACACCAACAGCAAAAGACAACGCAAACCACTGATAAAGAATAGGGAAGGGAAACGGCATGGGGAGGCTCCGGCTGCTCTCGGAAAGCTTTTTGGATGTGTCCCAGCACAGTACTGCCTCTCAGAAACAGCTGCTCCACAGCTGATCGGCAGATCGGCTGATCTCTGTGGACTCCAACGGCCAACTTCAGCAGTCATTTCTGTTTGAGTGGCCTGGCTGTTGAGTGGAGACTCTCCAGAGGGCAAGGGGGAGCCAGGCAGTGGGTCTTTCTAATATATGGCAAACATACGTGCAAATTCTGATATTTCACTGTTTTGCAGGAGACTCAGCCCCACTGCATTGTTACTTCTGAAGAGCCAGAGCCCTGCAGCACCTGTCTGCCTGCGTCCTTCTGCATACAGCCGTGCGTTATGTGCTCCAGACATGGGATAAGGAGGAGGGACCACAGCCAAGTCTTGGTTTCTCAGACAGGTAAGTCAGAGAAGTGGGGAAGAGGAGGAAACAAGCTGGTTAGTCCCTTTCCTGTGAAATGGTGTGAAGCTGGGTCCAGCTGCTGCCTTCTTGTTGCATCTGTTCTGGTGCCCACCGCTGACAGCGTTCATGCTCAGTGCCCCTCAGAAGGGGGTACGAGGGTTCCTCAAGTCAGCAGCCGGAGGTGAGTCTTGTATAGTCACCGCTGTACATCCTGCGTGTGCCTCCCTGAACACTGTTACATAGCTGGAGCTGCGCAACGCTGTCCCAGCCTGTGGGAGGAAGCTTGGCTGAGTTACTGGATGAGGGGACATACAAGATGTGCAGGAGGTCCCAAGGGAACCTCAAACCAGTTTTGTCTTTTGGGAGATGAACCCAAGGAGAGAGGCAGAGAGCATCGGGAAGGGAGGTTGGCAGTGTCCAAGCTGCAGCTGAGGAGGGGGAGCACTGTAATGCCTGGTGAGAAATTAGGGTGATGTTTTGGGTTGAGCTAGAGTTGCCAGGTTGCTACTAGATGGTCCGTTCCTCCGAGCCTGGGAACCAGCAAGTTGCTGCCTCTAGTGAGCCTTTCTTGAACAGGGTGTCATCGCTGGCACAAAGTGATGAGGACGCTCGTGAAGCGAGGACCCCCCTGCAGGAGCACTTTGCAGGGCAGGACTGGAGAGCTCGGGCCTGTCCTGCTGTTCAGACCATGCTGGGGACTGGTCTGTCAGTCATGGGTGGAAATGGGCCGCTGTCCCTGAAATTTGTTGTCAAGGAGCCCCAGTGAAGGGAAAACC